GAAAATGGCCGCGCTATGGAGGATCTTCGCTGGACAGTGAGTTTGAAGCCCCTAGGAACGCATTAATCTGGTTTTAATGCATTTCTATGGGCTTTTAAAAATTGCATCACGACATTTTCGTTCTACAGCGATTTCGCTGGAACAAATTAATGTCGTGATGCGAGGCACCACTGTATCTGGGAAATTGTGGTGCTTTTTCCTCCCCTAGGCAGGAAAATAATTCTTTGGGCAAGCAACATATAGGATGATAAAACAAAGGAAAAGAGATGTGTTTGTTAGATTTTACTGACACACTCTTAGAAGAATGTATTTCTGAGATTTCCTATCCTAATTGTAGACATCAGAATAAAAAAAATAACCATTTATGATACCGCAAGATACTCTTTGTTGGCAGACATTTGGTACTCATCACCAATTCATTCCATCAAGCAAACAGCCAACTTACCCAGGTATGCATCATTTGCAAACAACAAAAGACAGGTGGGGTCTGAAATCATTACACCATCTGTTTATTAGCCAGCTGACTGTTGTTGGTAACTGGGGAGGTTGTTTATTATTTGCCATTTCATACAGCCTGTGATCGTGAGCACTGCTATGTTGGACACAATCCCCTTATGTTGGAAACTCATCATCTCCTATGAGACAATTATTTTTCTGCCACTTGCATCAATTAGAACAAACACTTGCCATGTACCCTAACCCTCTCTCTCCAAACTTCAATGGCAGATCCATCTTCATCTCCACTCTTAATTTCTCAGATGTCACAGAGCTATAGAAGCAGGATGATCCCAATTGGCCAATCCATCAGCTTCCAATGGCTCTGCATGTGGAGGATGGTGCAGTGCAAATTCAGCTAGGGGAGAGAGGCAGCAATAGCAAAGTCAGCTGGTGGAGGGGACTTATTCTCCTATTCTGGTTTTGGGCCTACAGCCTTTTTTTCATGCCAATAAAATCATGGCAGATCCTGTCATAGTTGACTTGCAGATGAGTGTGTGTATTCTGTGCTGTCAAGTTGGAACTGGCTTACAGCAAGACTAATAGGGTTTTCAAGGTGAGATATTTAAAGAGTGGTTTTACTAGTTCTACTCCCCCAGTCAGTTTCCATGCCTGAGCGGGGATTTGAATCCTGTTCTCTATAGTCTATCACTCTGTCCATTACACTACACTGGGATGCCTGCAGATAGGGAAAGACAAATCCAGTTCTTTTTTTAGAGCAAGCTCTACCGCTGTAGCTACACTTGATTTTAAACCCTTCCCTTTATCCGCTTTTATTAAAAAGAAAAGGGAAGTCCTGATCAACAAAAGAAGATGCTAGTCTGCCTCAATCCAATTTCCTTCCAAAGCTGTAGGAGAGCTTTCTAGAAAAAAAAACCTGGTCACCATCTATGGTGATAAAATGTAGAAATTAAATACATCTTTTCCCCCTTTTCATCCCTAAACCTATTCAACATAATGGCTACAGACAGTACATTTGGATTAAGGTTCCTCCTTTTCTCCCCACTGCTGCAATGTGCGGGACACAGTTTTAAAGTCCACAGCACAATTTTGCAGGAATGGAAATCGTATCAACAGTAATACTGATAGGCTTCAATTTATATATAATAGTTCTTCATGGTCCCTATGCACCACACACACATGGATGTTGGTGCCTGTGCAGAATGCTCCAGAGCTTGATAGCCTCAAAAAGTATTTCCACACTCAGTGCCCATTGTGCAGGCACCCTCTGACAGCTCCTCCTTGAAGACCTATAATGACAAGCAACAGATAAGGGTGTGTGCATGCTTTTGAGTTGTGATGCTGGAGGAGGCTCTCAAGAGTCCCCTGGACTGCAAGGAGAACAAACCTATCAATTCTAAAGGAAATCAACCCTGAGTGCTTACTGGAAGGACAGATCCTGAAGCTGGGACTCCAATACTTTGGCCATCTCATGAGAAGAGAGAACTCCCTGGAAAAGACCCTGATGTTGGGAAAGTGTGACAGCAAGAGGAGAAGGGGACAACAGAGGAGATGGTTGGACAGTGTCATCGAAGCTATCAACATGAATTTGACCCAATTCCGGGAGGCAGTGGAAGACAGGAGGGCCTGGCATGCTCTAGTCCATGGGGTCACGAAGAGTCGGACACGACTAAACGACAACAATAACAGGCAAGGGTGTTTATCTAACAGTTTCATAACATGCAGTGCATTACAGTCTGCAAAAGCTTATTTGTTAGTGTCTGACAGGGGTCTCCAAATTTTTTGAGACTTTCAAGATCTCAGAGGGCCAAAAGAAGAGGAACGTGCACACGCACACATCCGTATCCCTGCATGCGCACAGATGCATGGATGTGGGGCCTTGCATGCACACATGCATGTGCAGACACACACACACCACCCGCGGGCATGAGGTTAAGTGAAAGGGCCTGGTAAAATAGCAAGGTGGGCCAGATGTGGTCTGTGGACCGTAGTCTTTGAAGTGCTTCCAACATTTTTCTTTATCATAGATGGATTTCCTTAGCTGATTTTTTTCTATTATGCGTCCACATATAGTTCATGGGCAGCAAAATATTTGTGAAAAATCATCCTAGTTATTAAGATCCTCAGACTCTTAAACCAGGATCTTCTGAACTCACCAGCTTCTCCATATAATCTCTGCCCTGCATGATGCTTCTTTCAGGGACAGAGAAAGCTCTCCTGTTGCCAGAGGTGGAAGTGAAACATCTGCCATTGCCCTACTCTTCTTGCTGCCTGCCTTTCTTGCACATGGGGCAGGTGGCAAGAAGATGACAGGAGGCGGAAGAGCTCTTTTTGTTCCACTTCAGGTGCTGGGACAGCCCTGGCTGGTACCTCCCACAGCCACCTTGCCTGGGAGGAAGGATGACAGCAATGGAATGAGCCCTGTCTTTTCCTCTCACTTCAGATGGTGTCAAAGCCTCCTCCTCTCCCCAGCGGTGTGGTCTATGTGTTCCCCATTTAAAGCAGCCCTATCCACTTTATGCAGCTGGCACTGCTTTACACAGAGTAGGCAGAGAATGGTACAAGGCCAAAGCGATTTTTAAAAAAACCAAATACTTTCGAGTAGGTCGGGTTTTCCCCAACAGTTCTTTCCTGTCAAGAGAGTTCGGTATCGGAAAGGGTCAGGGTGTCAGCAAGAAAAGAGAAGAGACAAGCCATCCACGAGCCCCGCTTTTGCCAGGCCGGCTTCTCTCTCGGCGACACGACCTTCCAGCGAGCAGAGCGAGCCGCAGCTGGCAGGCCTTCCAAGGTCGGGGGGCGGAGTCTTCCCTCCCACGGGACCCGAGCACGTGCTCCCTTCAAAGCCTTACCCTCGCCGCGCCTCTCGTGATAGAACTTACGACGCTCTCGCGGCGGCGGAACCTTTGGGGTAGTCCCTGCTGGGCTTCCGTAGCGGCGGAAGACCGTTTGGCCGACGGTTGAGAAAGCGTTGAATCAGGTGATAGACGGTTGGTCCCTAGATGGGCGCGAGCGAAAAGTAAGGCGGGAAGGGGGAGATGGATGGGGTTGTGGAGGCGGCTGCCGGTGCCGCCGCCGAAGAGGAGCCGCCGCCCCTTCCTCATCTGAGCTGCGATAGTGGCAACGTCTCGCAGAGTCACAGCAGCGCCTCGGGCATAGGGGACGAAGACGCCGCCGCGGAAGGAGGCGCTTACCAAGGAGACCTTCTGCTGGCCTCTGCGGCGGCCGACTACGCCGCCTACTTGCTGCCTTCGGGCAGCGTCGCCTCAGGCGGGCAGGTGAATGACGGGGTCCGCCTGCCCAGCCGGGAGGGCGGAGGGACCTTTCAGCGGATGGTTTTCGGGCTAGCCAGGTTCCTTTGGCAGGAGCTGTGGGTGGGGGGGAGAGGGGACCGTGGCCCCCGTCGTCCGTTCCGTAGGTGGGGTTAGGTGCTGCCGAGTCGCTTCACGGAGACGGCGGTCTGTGGCCAAACGCAACGAGGGAGGAAGTGGAGCGCGTTTGGGGGACTTCCTCTCCAAACGGATAAGTGCCGTGCCTCTCCTTGTAGACATTTTTAAGAGGTTAGCTTGGAAGAGTAAATAATTAAGAGGAAGAAGAACCTGCAGGGCACGGTTTATGTATGGGGATTTGTAAACGTTTCAGAAATCTTTGTACACCAAGACCTACTGCTAATAGGCTTGTAGCGTTTTAAATAGTTTTCACCAGCATCTGTACAGTTTTACTGTATTTTTGTACTTTGGAAAGTGGTTTTAGAGGCCATCCTCTAAACAGAACAGCGGTAAAAGAGTGTCCAGGAATTCAGTGCCCTGGCCTCCTGCTACATAGCTCTGGATGGCTTCAGCATGTCCTATTTGAAGTCACATCATAAACTTTGTCCTCAAATGCTTCTTCAAATTATCTAAGTCTAAGGATTGCTCCACTGATGGAGCCTGTTTTTGCAGGGCCTAACTCTCTTCTCCGAAGTGAATGTTATTACTGTATTCTGCTCGCTCCTGGGTCTGGAACACTAACCATTCGAAGTAAATGTTATTACTGTATTCTGTTCGCTCCTGGGTCTGGAACACTAACCATTCCTAACTCAGTAGCTCAGAGCTGGTTTTTTGGCATTTTCAGAAATTATTTGGTCCAGAAAGTTCACTGAGATGGAGGAGTTTGAAAAGCTAGTCTAATAAGCTGTTTGCAAAGTTCACTGAGTTGGAGTTCATGGCTGCAGAACCTGGGGTCAGAAGTTCAATTCCTCACTGGGCCACCTTGCAAAAGAAGCAGCCTTTGTAGATTTAGCTTAGCTGTACAGTCGCAGAGAGCCTCCATAAGAAGTAGATCTGAGTCATTTATATCTAGAAGACCCTGGAAAGGGAATCAATTTAATGGCATATTTAATAGCGATAATAAAAAGATCAGAAATCTATTTGCATTTAGCTGGAAAGAAACCCATCATGCATCTGTAAAGAAGAAAATATGGTTAAGATCAAACATTTGTGCATATTTTGGTAGTGTTTTGTGTTGGCCTGTGTTGTACATAAGGTCTCAGCTGTCTTGGATTCTTTGTGAAAGGAGAAAGATATAAAATAAATAAATGGCAACATTATTTTAAGCAGAATTAAAAACTTTTTTAATATTATGTAACAACAGTAAAGAAATCAGTAATGAACAGAATCCTGTTGGTGATTTTTGGGTAAGTAACTAAAATTGCTTAATAACCAGAGCAGATTGTTGCTAACTAACAAGGCACCGTCATATTGCATGGCATATACTTGATCGTGCAACAGACATACTCAATCTGTGCCTCACTAGTTAATGGCAACTAAAGATAAGGGGTGTAGTTTATTTAATAACATAAATTCTGTTTTTCCTCTCTATTTTAAATCTGAGGTTGTTTTGATTCTAAACCAGTGCCTGGTGTCAGGAATGGACTGGATGAGAGCAAAGAAGCTAAAACTTTGTGGATGGTGACTAGGTGATATGGGCTGGATGAGAACAAAAGAATTGAAGCAATTAAACATGAAACCATTAAAAATCAGAGCAGATTTGATTTAGAAATCAAAACTAAGAGCCATCAAATTCAGTAGGACTGGGTTTCAAGAAAATGACTGTTGAATGGTGTTTGATTTGTACTCTTTAATTTTATTCCAGTATGTAGCCAGGCTCCAGGTATATGTCATGTCATGAATCTTTGTTTTCCTTCTGTCTTCTGTAGTGTAAAAAAAGCAGTGGGATAAACAGTAATATCTTAGGAGCAGGACTTGTTTTTCTTTCCTACATATCTATAGGATACTCTGTACACATGGTTCTGTATTTATCATAAATATATTGTTAGAATTCTGACAGTATTTGTTATTCATTCAAAATTGCCTATGGAGAATAGTCATCTTCACAATATAAAAGGAGCTTCAGCAGGAGGGTGGTGGTGGTAAAATGCTGTTGTAGTTGTCAGCAATGGGTGATACCACAGTCATGTCACAAGTTCATCTCTTTCTCCTTTGCTGTTTCTCTACTGGTTAAGACAATGGAGGAAAAAATAGTTTTTTGTCAGATTTATTTTGTTCTGTTTTAATCACAGGTCTATTTCTCTACTCCCAGACATCAATGCTACACATTTGCACGACTTTTTTTTTAATTTTTGTTTTGACAGATTGAATCCTTAGAGAAAAGTCTGGAAGATTTGCTAACCAGGGTAGATGAATTTGTTGGTATGCTAGATATGGTAGGTATACTGTTGAAAAGCATGTGATTTAACTTTAATTAACAATAGTTGTCTTTATTTATTTATTTATTTAATTTATATGCCGCCCACTCTACCCAAGGGTCTCTAGGCGGCTTACAACAATTAAAATTCAATACAATAAAATTTAAAATGATTAAAATACAATTAAAATACAATTAAAATTGCCACCATCAAGATCCACAGTTAATGTTATTTCAATTAAAAGCCTTCTGGAGCAGGAAGGTTTTGACCTGGCACCAAAATATCATCAGTGTCGGGGCCAGACGAATTTCAGTCGGGAGGGCGTTCCATAGTCTGGGGGCAGCTGCCGAGAAGGCCCTTTGTCTACAAGCCATCCCTCTTACCTCCTTGAGGGATGGCTCTTTCAAAAGGGCCCCCTGGCTAGATCTTAACAGCCGGGTAGGCTCATATGGAAGGAGGCGTTGTGTTGTATGAATTTATTCTAAGAGCACAATTCATATAAATGAATGCCTAAGGTTTTTAGATATGCTCTTGCAGTCAGTGAAATGCCAGAATGTAGGCATCAGATTCTTAGCAGATGGCTAAGAAAAGTTTACATAAGGCGGTAAGTAGAGATGGGCATGAACCAGAAAAATGATGGTTCATGATGCTTCGTAGTTCATAATTGGCCACAAACCAACCAGTTTGGGTTTTGGTTCATACCTGGAGTGGGAGGGTACCTTCTATCCTGCCACTGCCATCACCGCTGCACCAGGTTCCTGGAAAGCCACCCCACTTCTGTTGACAGCAGCACCAATGCAAGACCAGGTAGGGAGGCAACGCAGCCAGCAGGAAGGGCACAGATGGGCATCCATTTTGCTGAAGCAAAACAAAGCACTGAGCAAAAAAACTTTGGTTCTTCATTTCAACAAAATGGCTTGCACAAGCCAAACCATGAACGAGCCCAGTTCATGTTTTTCTAGTTCATAGTTCAGTTTGTGCCTATTTCTAGTTGTAAAATATAGCATTACTTGAACAGGATGAAGAAACCTTTGAAGAGTTTCAAAACTCCATTTATAAATCAGGTGAAAAGACTGAACTTTTGTACATTGCAACAAGAAAAAGCAGCTGGCTTTTAGGACTTTAGTTTATATGTTTGTGTGGTAGGCTTTGACAGAATATTCAATTTTGTTGTGGGAGTGTCTCAGAATATCTAGCATCAGTGAGCTAAATATAGCTCACACGTTATTCAAGATTATAGGTTGTATTCAGGTACTTCACGGGTTCCCAGGTTGTTGTTTTTTACATCACACCTTACTTTTGATCTTTTGGGGGTAAACATTTAATGTCCTTTATCTCTCTTCTGCCATCTCCCAAAATTTTAAATCCATAATTTAAAACTCAAAATGAAAAAAAGTAAAAAACATTAATGCAATTTAATTTAATTTAAAAATAAACATATTTTCTCATCAATAAAAATGTATGTATGGAATTTTTAGTCATGTCAAAATAATGTACCTGATATGCAAATAAGATTAATAGACAAAGGTTTTAGATGGTTAATGCATATATATTCATAATTATGTAGTAGACATCCATGCAATATACAGTGGCGCCTCGCTTAGCGAGTGCACCGTATAGTGATGTTTACGTATAGCGATCCCTTTTTTGGGATCGCTATACGGAAACATACCCGATCTTCGCAATGGGGAAAACCCGCATTGCGAAGATCGGGTATTGCGGCAGCCAAAATGGCCGCCGGAAGCCCGGAAATTGCTGCCGGCAGCCGTTTTCACGCCCTGCCCTCACTTAGCGAGGGCGCGAAAATGGCTGCCGGCAAGGGGAATCCTCACTGAACGGGTAAGTAAGCAAGGTATTGGAACGCATTAAACTTAGTTTAATGCGTTTCAATAACTTTTCCCTACCCGTTTAGCGACGATTCCGCATAGCGAGGGTTAATCCGGAACGGATTAACCTCGCTATGCAGGGCACCACTGTACTGTAGTTGAATGTTTTCATATGTATTCTTCACTAGTATCTTGCCACTGTGAGTGAGGACCTGGTTTCATTCCAGAATGCTGCACAAGTTTCTGAGTTCTTTGGAATTCTGTATTAGGCTAACTGACAAAATGAAGTAAAACATTGAGGAATTACAGTTGTTCATGAAAGTTTTTCCTTAAAAATATTTTACTCATGTAATGAACCAGTGAATCTTAGGGATTATTGAACTGGGATTTGGGAAATTCAGATCTGGGACCTTTTGGGGTTACGAAACTCACTGTGGACAAGTCATTCTCTTACCTGTTTTGATTCACTTCAAAACAAAGTGGGCAGGAAAAGAGCCATGGATGCTTCCTGAGCTCAGTAGAAGATATGAAATATAAATGTAACTAAAAAATGAAAAATAGATGCTCTGAGAAACTGAGCTACTAATGGTGAGGATATACAGCAATAGCAACTTTGGCCACATGGTGCGCTTGGCATACATGTACACTATCCACTTTGCTACAGAGAAGGCCAACATCTCCCCTTTCACTCTATGACAGAACCATCTATTTCTGGAAATAACCTCCGGTAACAGCAGTGGATGGGTGGTGTCTGCGTGTTCCTGCTGCCTGTCTTAACCGCCCCCCTTCATGCCTTTGTTTCCATTTTCTCGTGCTCTCTCTTGAGATATCTGCACACTCCCCTTCTATAGCTTTCCTTCCAACTTCTTAAGTGTCTGAGCCCTCTCTAAGGTGCACATCCCTGAAATTTGGAAATAGTGAGATAATGATCAAGTTTTGGAAATATTAAATTCAGTGCAATGAAAATTGTTTTCCCGGCTTAGTACTATAATATGTATGCAACTTTATCTGATTTGTTGCTAGATTCGAAGTGATTCCTCTCAAGTTGTCAATGAAAGCGTGCCACATATTCATGCGAAGGCTGTAGAAATGAGGCAGCTATATAAAAAGATAGACAAACTAGAGGTATGTATTTCTACTGTCAATGACCCTGTCTTTTTTATAGAACTAAGATGAATTATCTGTTCTGCTATCTTCTCATAGTTTTTTGGATCCTACACAACCATAAAAGACAATTGTTCCTTGTAAACTACCGAGTCCTAGTGTGAATACAGAACATCATGTCTCAGAGCCTTCCAGTTTAAAGGAAAGTTTCATGTTTACTGCTTCCTTTTTGTGATTATAGGAGTGAATACCTTAAAACATAGGCATGGACAATGATTATTGTAGTTCTAATAAAATTATGAACCATCAATTTCATTTTTTTAATTGCAGAATACACTTAAAATACACAATTTCCATAATTGAAACATGTACTGTGTGTGACTCATGAGTTGCTTATAATGAAATATACTTTGACTCATTCAAATAGAGGATACATAGAATTCCTTAGCTTTCAGGTATTCTTTGGTATTTTTCTGCTTGAGAGCCTGTATGATGTAGTAGATAGAGTGTCAGACTAGGGCTTGGGAGACCTGGGTTCAATTCTGTTTGGCTGTGGAAAATCAATGAAAGAGTGGCAGTGGTAAACCATTTCCTTAATATCTTGCATACTTCAAACACTTTATAAAAGTGGCTGTAGGTTGGAAGTGACTCTTCAACATCTTCATAAATGACCTGGATGAGGGGATTGAAGGAGCACTCATCAAATTTGCTGGTGACACAAAGCTGGGGGGAATTGCTAATACTTTGAAAGATTACTCAGCATTCAGAAGGATCTAGACAGACTTGATCATTGGGCCCTGTCACAATCCCCACATGGCCCCTGCTTGTTTCACCAAACTAAGAGCTCATGCTACGTCTTTCAGCTATCATCAGTTGATTACATCAACATTATTTATTATTAATGATAGATGTCCAGGCCATATGTCGTTTTAAAAGAACCAAATAGAAATTGTTTATTGTTACAGATGTAGATACTTCAGGGAATGTTGTTATCTCTTAACAAACATCCTCCTTCATTCACTCTCAACCACTGCTCTCCCGCCCAAACTCCAAAACACTTTACTCAACTAAAACTCCCTCACTAACCTCCTCCTGCTGAGTCTCATATATTGTGACTCTACCCCTCCAGCACTCCCATTGGTCTATGCAGATAGCATATGAATATTCATGACCTGGGCAGATGCCAGAGGCCCTATCCAATAAGATGCACTTCAGTTGTCACAGGGAATAGGGCATCAATTTATTCTCCATTGTGCCTGTGGGTAGGACAAGAACCAATGGGTGGAAATTTGTCATAGGGAGACCCAACCTGGAAATAAGGAGGAATTTCCTGACGGTGAGAACCATTAAGCAGTGGAACAGCTTGCCTCCCGATGTTGTGGCTGCCCCATCGCTGGAGGTTTTCAAGAAAAGATTGGACAGCCATCTGTCTGAATGCTATGAGGCTCCTGCCTTGAGCAAGGGGTTTGACTAGAAGACCTCCGAGGTCACTTCCAACCCTACAACAATTCTATGATTCTGTGACTTCATAGCATATGACATTTTTCTGCTTGCACATGTTGCTAATATATTATCTGTCTTGTTATTTTTCAAACAGGCTTTTGTAAAAATGGTTGGAAATAGTGTGGCTGGGATGGAGGAACAAATCTCAAAGGCAGAATCAGACCTTGGAACTTTTCCAAATACTTTAAAAAAATTTTTACACACAATCAATGTACCATCTTTTCTTAATGTAAGTAGTACCATGGAATGGAAATCTGCTTTATTATGTTTGAAGTATTTTTTATTAAGAATAAAAAGACTTTTGGTCACTTTGCACATATCTGAACATCTGTACGTTTAGAGGACAGGCTCCTTGATTGTGTTTGCACATCTGAGATAGGAACTTGGGAGGATAGATTTCTCCCAGTATTGAGTCTGGAAGTCAGCAAAGTGAAGGATTGTGTGCATGTAGAATTTAGAGATTTTAAATGAAGGCTTAAAACATAGTGTGACCTAGTGGTTTTTCTTGTATTCTTACATTCCTGATGGACACCTGCTTATATAACTGATTGCTCATTCCAGGGATCTTTTTTTCTCGTACTTGAGTAAAAAATTGAAACAGTTGAGTTTGAAAATCTGTACACACCAATTGAATAGTACTTTTTTTAAAACCAAGAACATTGTGTATTGAAACCTGCAATATTGGCTATCCATCCTGTCTCTTCTCTATAGCCAAGAAGTAAAAGTTGCATATGCAGTTTCCAGGCAGCTAGAGATGTTTCTAGCTGCCATGATAAATTTATATCAAATCTCCAGCTCTATTCTTCCTTGTTTCTTGATTTCTTCTTGGGTCCTACCTGCCTTGTGTTCAGTACTTTTATTCACTCTCTTGCATACCCACATCTTTCATGCAGGTCAGTTGTACATGTTGCAGATTTTAGAATCTAACATACTCTGTTGTGTGAAAGTATTTTAACACTGAGATTTTAATTACAGAAATCATCTTCCTCAAGGCAGAGTCAAACACTTTATGAAGCCCCTGCTCTCTTCAAGACTGAAGATTACTTTCCTTGTGTTGGAGGCACACAATATGTATGATTTAGCTGACACTTTCACATCTGAAGAGATATTAAAAGTAAGAGTTATGCTGATGTTTAGGTTGTTGTACTTCTCTGAAAAACCATGGCTTGCTGCCATCCTGCACACCTTTACTTTAGCTTTTGTTTTGCATAGAATATAATGATTTCCAGGCTTTTTAAAGTGTTAACCTACATAATTGGTAGCTAACATTAACAGTAAACCACTTTGAACTTTTGGAAGGAAGCAGGCCTCATTTCACATGATCTGCAGCTGGGACTAGTCTTTTCCCCATTCTCAAATACTACACAGGGAAAGTTTTAGAAGAATAGTCAGGAAACAAAGAAAAGCTTTCTACTAGTGTAGCATTTCCAAGTTAGAAAATAGTATGGAAAATAAGAGGATGGAAGCAAGACATGCAAGAAGAGATTTCTTCTTTGCGCATGCTCCAGACTGAAACCTTCTGTAACAGTCTCTTTGCCTTTCTAAAACAAGACTGGTGAAGGCAGGAAGGAGAAATGGAGCAGTCATTTTTCATATTTCTCTGTGTTTATTTCCTCTTGTCTTCTAGCCAGATATGGCCCACAAAGCTGATGAGGAGCAGAGTATAGAAAAAGTTAGAAATAAGAATGAGTTGATCTGAGAGTTGCCAAACAGTAACATGTATGTTCTTCACTAAGCTCATTTGGGAACTTTGAATAATGACAGCCCACCCATACTTAGAAGCAAATAAGTAGAAAAGCCAGAAGTATATATGATTTTTTTAATTGTAATTATTATTTGTATCTTAATTACTTTTTGCTACTGCTGCTAGTATTAACTTACACACCACAGTAATGTTTTTGAAAGAGTTCTGTGGTGCTTTTAAGTGCAATAAGGACCAAAATTATGCATTCATATCTTTCATGAATGTGTCTAGGATCCCCCCCCCTATATTTTGGGAATAAATCCAGTTTGAACAAATGTTCCTTTGTTCTTTGATCTGCTGCAAAGTAAAGGTAAACAGCAATGTGTGTTGTTTGCTGTTAGCATTTTGGGGGCAATTGTCTAGCAAATAAATTTTTTGTATATAATGTTGAATGTATGATAACCAAAGCTCTTATAAATTGAATTTATTAAATGTTTAAGAGTCTTAGCAATTTTTTTATTATGTTAAAATCATAATGTAAATTACTTCCTTTAAGGCAAAACCCTTCAGTTACAAGGAAATATTTTCTTTCATACTGCTGGTTGCTCCACCACTTACCACTAACATTTTCCAAGGTTTACAATCATAGGCCTGTTTCCACCATTTCATTTTGCAGAGGGCAAAGAAGGAGCATGTCCCCCTTTTTTTCCTTTTGGTGTGATTATTCAGTCTTTAATATTTTATATTGTCAGCCCCTATCAAATTAGCCCTCCATGTATTTTAGACTATATTTTCCATCATAGCGATGATAATGCTGACTTCTGCTGATGGCATTGTCTTGCAGATTGTTTACCTGTAACCTATATACAGTACTGTGCAGTCTGCTCTCAGCAGCTGAATGCCCATTTTTTCAAATTCAGCTATGCTAAAAACTCAATCCTCCATATCTATTATTTTATTTATATATCACCCATCTAGCCAGAGGTCACTCTGGGCATTTTGCAACAAAACTACTCAGCATCAATGACTCCTGATCCTATTTGTTCTGCTGACATTCATTCATGAATGATATTTATATACTATTCCCACATATAGTCATACTGTTGTGCCGTTTTTAGCTAATTGGTGATTTACTTAGAATTTATTATGTCTCTGTAGAGACATTGGCAATATTTTGACTCATTTTTTATCTGTGCTGGTCTTTCTGGTTGTACTTTCAATACTTCATTTTTTCTCACATATTCCAGCTATGTTAGGTGTTTCATTTTATCCTTTTCATTGGTTTTGTCTAATTGTCATTTTACCAGGTTCTTTTACTTTGTTTATCCTTTCTCTAGCTGCTCTTCCCTAGAACTTTTGCCTTGCAAATACTAATCTTCCAGCTACCTTTTGAAGTTTATTTTCAATTCAGTTCGTATCCTATTGGAAGATATCTGTTAAGATTAGTCATCCAGGTGTGGTTATCTGGAAGTTGAGTCATGGCAAGTGGACATCTTGTTAGGTTGAAACATTTCGCTACTCATCCAAGTAATTTCGCTACTCATTCAAGTAGCTTCTTCAGTCTGAGGAGAGTTGGTAGGAGATTCCCTGATAAATCCTCCAGGTTGGTTTCACTCCCCCCCTGAATAGGTTTGTTAGAAGTCCAGGGGATGAAGGATAATCCCACTTCTGCAGTCCTTCTCCACCCATTGTCATGGGTCGTTAACGGTCCTTAACTGTGGTCTTTCTGGTGTGTCTGGCCCTAATCTTTGAGGATGGATGAAAGGGCAGCATGATAAATAGGAGACAGATTGTAACTAAGGCCTCCACCCCTGTTGAGTGAGGGATTTTCTATATGAACATGTATGGCCTCTCTTACCCCTCTTTCAAACCACCTATCTTCTTGGTCCAAAATGAGTACATCTTGGTCATCAAATTAGTGTCATTTGACACTAAGGCAGAGACTTATCCATCCAAAAGACCAGACACCAAAACACAACAGCAATATATTATATGCAGTCCAATGCAAAGAGGAGTGTTCAGAGCTCTATATTGGAGAAACCAAAAAGCCACTAAACAGGAAAATTGTCCAGCACAGGAGGGGCAATGATTCAGGATCACAATCAGCAGTGTTCCTTCACTTGAAGGACAAATAACACACACAGTTGCCATGACTCAACTTCGATATCCTATTAGAAAGCCCTTTCCTTGACTGATAAACATATTTGCATATTATCTTACTTTTTTTTCATCTTCACACATTTTAGTATTAGCAATATAGGTAAAGCAGAGTCAATCAGATCACTGTATGAGAGTAAAGCTGAAACAAAGCTCCCTTGCTGAGGTTTTCATATAGTTTAAATATGTGATGTGTGTTCTTGGCCCACCCTTCTCCAAATACGGGGTTTTACTTTCTTAATAAGACAGGGCTCTACAACACCTCTGCCTCCAAAGCTTATCTTCCTTCTATGACAATTTTATACCACTGGCATACTCAGAAAGTTTCATCAGGTATTAACAGTCAAGTTGGAAGACCACCTATTTTTTGTATTGCAGCTTTACTCAGCTATCCGACAAGGCAAACTTGAGATTGAGAAAAGAGGTAGAATTTGTCTTTCATCTTTTTTTCCATACCAGCCGTTGCAGTATCAAATCAACAAACTGATTTTGAACAATTGTATCAAGATGCAAAGAAATGGCTACAAAACACTAGTACAAGCCTGTAGAACCAGCTGAAATGGGAGTGGGAGGCGGGAGAGAGACCTTAAGCCAAGCTATTAAATGGCATAATGATAGCTTGCTCAGCAGAAATGTCTACTGCCTTTTAGGAATAAAAATTTAGTTTGCTTGATCACAGCAGGCTGGGCAATACTGCTTTGCCAGACACTGTCATGCTACTGATATAATTTTATACAAAATCAAAAGGCCCAACAGATATATTTGGCTCAGCCAAGTAGTAAAGGTTTTTCCTTAATAGTGGGCAAATCCTACTGCATAACTTCATGCTACATAAACTGGACTGGTGTGCTGGAAATAATTAAAATCAATTTAACGCTTTCTATTCCCTTGTTTCAGCTTCCAATGCTCCCTAAGGGCTTCATTTTTGCCACGGAGCTTTTGGGAGCTTTGGAAGATTATTCAGTATTTAATAATCTTTAAAAGTAAAAAATCACCACCAGAGTTCCTTATCGTGGTGGCAGTGATCTAATGGCAATTTTTGCCTTTAAACCCACCATCATCCAATTCTGAAGTTTATGATCTGGTTTATGCCAGCAGAACTACCTATATGAAAGACTAACAATCCCCTAGGGCTCAATCTAGCATTCTCTCCACTATACCACTTTCATATGGACAGCATAAATTTTATACAGGACCACATTTAAACGTACTGTACAATGTTACCTGAAAGCATGAAGTGATAAAGTACAGGAGGAGTCTGGCATCACTGACTATTCAAACAATAAGAGGGACCAAACACATGTAAGAAGCAACAGTGATGAGACTTACATGAATTCTCCTGCTAACAACCCATTACAAAATCCTCTGTACACATGTAAATTGGAAACTTTGTTTATTTGAAAGCAAAAGTTCAAGAGCCAAATAGGTAAAATTCACTACCACTAGTATTTGCATGGTTTCAAAAGTTTCACCAAATTTTTCTTCTACTGCAATAAGCTCAACCTTTACTAGATGTCATCTTGCTCTTCCATATCCTATTCCTTGCCAAACCTCAACTAGTAAATGAAGAAACACAGGACATTGGTGGAACACTACTACCACACAGCCTCTACTGACTTCCATTCTTGATAGGTCATACCTGTGATACTCAAAACATTCCCTGTGGTGGGAAATAGGCACTTCTATTTATTTGTCCTCCAAATGCACTCATAAATTAAATATGGTGAATCTGCAATTAAAATTTATTGAGCTGCACTAAAAGTAAATTTGCCTTGCCTATTTTATAGTTCACCTTTTCAACAATCAAGGTGTTTCCTGTAACTATCTGCAGCAATTCTTATTTTGTATATGACTCCCATGCCTAGATTTTTATTAAAACAGGACCCAATGTTGTCAATTCATTTTAAATGCCTTTTTACATCCCATTATTTCATAACAATGCTTTTGAAACAGATGGTGGGCAAGATGCTAATCCACATCCTACATATTCTGGCATATGTATATGGTGTTCAGAAGTAAAACAGTCACAGCAATCACTGGTCTCCCATGTTTTGTCGCAAGCTCATCTCTAGTCCATCCCTTGTGCGGGTTATGTATCAACAGTGATATAGACAATCAGTCTATCAACTGCAAATCCTATCAGCATCTCAGCCTTAGGACCGGCATTACTGGCACCCAAGGATGCATGAAAAGAACAGAAACCAAACCGAGAAGCCCTCTTATGGTTTTCTGACATTTATAGAAATTTAACAGCCTGTAATGCAACTGCTTAAATTGCACAAAGTTATTTACATGCAGTTTCACTCAAAACAAAACAATCCCTTGGTATAAGAGAGATCTGTTATTAAGTGGGAAATAATGTATAGTCAGTATATGAAATAAATTATTTTCTTACTTTGCTGACACTCCAATACTGTAGTAAGGTATCCCTACATGTACTGAATATATTGTTGATTTTGCTGAAACATACATTGTCCAGAAGGAAAAAAACAGCAGCAGTAGCAAGACCAGTTGCAATTCTCAGTCTTGTCTTGTTCATAAAGACTACCCACTATCAGTGGAGGCTGGCGACTCCCATATTTGCAAGGGGGGGGGATTAATCCCCTTCACATTTTCATCTCAACTGTATAGGAGCTTGTATATGAGCTTTCCATGGTGCTGAACCTATGACTGTGAGACTGTTAAGCACCATGCAGAACTCCTACAGAGTTTGGACTAAAACCTGGTGCCCACCAAACTTATTCTTAGATAAGGCTATCAGTGCTATCATTTCAGCCACTTTAATGACAGCACAAGACCACTCAGCATTGATACAAATACCATGCACGACACATTAAATCTGATGTCAGCTGATAACAGGTTACTGCAAGTTATTATGAACTTCGGTATTCTTTCATACACTTCAGTGATACTAACGATCCAAGAAAGTACTGTATTATAAATTATGAGCCCAAAGGCTAAAGTAAAAACTTCTACTGAAGGGGTTGTATTTGACCCCTTGCTTGAAACAAAAGCATCAGAACCTCATGGAGAAGTGTCAAATAGTTAGAGCCAAGAGCTAGTCATGATGTACCTATAATATGAATTGTCGTCTGGAACAGAAATAGTAACAGAAAGCTTCCTGCAAACAGCACCACATTGACGGTAATCCTGTTGCACAGCTCCATGTGCAGAGCAGGAATGGTGTCACCGGCAGTGCCAGATTGCCACTGATTAAAGTCTTCATGGTGCAATAACAGAGTTCACAAACCTTGTACACCACATGACAAAGCCATGCGCATGCCAAAGTTACACAGCATGTCTTTAATCAGAAACCATCTGCCACAGTCACCATTCTCAATGCACAATCAGACAACACTCAGTAAGATTTCAGTCAATAAGTGGGGCTGCATATTAAGCAGCTCCTTATTTTATTCCAAAATACAAATCAAATACTTGGAAACCACAAGTAAAAAAATTAAGAAAAAAAAGATGTCACATAATAAGCTTTCAAAATTTTATCAGAAACAAGTGCTTGTAAACCCTCAACATATATACCTATAGATAGCATAAGTAGTTTTTTTAACAAGACTGTTGCATCTAGTACTGCTTCGTTGGGAAAATCTGGGTGTGTTTTAAAAAAAAAATGTGAAGATGAGATTGGACATTAACTATCCTGATATTTAAATGAAGATCTAAATTTTATTATGACCATCTAACCAGTTTTGATATTTTACCAAACATACAGCCCAAAAAATGTTTTAAGGAGATTTGTTACACAATTGTATAAAATCAATAGGCAGAAAAACTACACCATAAACAAAAACAAAGCTTCAGGTATACTATACTGTACCCCACTGCCACAATGAACAATCGCCCAAATGAATGAGGCACTGACTGCATTTGTGTAAAACTTAATGAACAGCATGCTACTGCATGTTGCCTGGACAGTCCTCTTCACTTCTCCTGAGTGAGAGTGGTAACAATATACAAAAACCAACCCTCTTCCCCAAAAAAGCTTAGCACTGTTCCTGAGCTGGTTGCTCCGTCAACAAACAGGAGCCTGAAATCAGTTTTTGATTTGTGGCCTGTTTAGTAGCAACATACCAGGAGAGTGGGTTTGTATGTAATGCTAAACTTTCTCTTCTCCATGAGCTCCTGGTTAACACAAGCATTCAAAGTAGCGAGAGGCTCACGCAACATGCATCAGTGCTGCTCAAGAACAGAAATACAGAATTCTCTAAAATTCTGTTATTGTTTTGTACAAATGTGGCCAGAGTATACTAATGTCACAAAAAACCCTAAACAGAGACAGTTCTGAAGTAATTAATTGCCTATTAGATGGTTTGTTTTTAAAGTTACACATCTGCTGATTCATACTGCAAGATTAAACTGTGCTTGACATTTTTAAGTTCAGACATATTAAAGCCCAAAAGCACAGATGGCTTAAGCTTTTTTATTGCCCTTAGGCAGGAGTATCTCTTTCTCCCAAAAAATGATGCAACATCAGCTTTCCATGCACACAAAATAGATGACAATAATTCCAACTCCTTTTTGGTGGGATATGGTTTCTTGTGAAAATAATCTGCAAGAAACTGTTTTTGGACTTCATTAGAGCTGTGCTGGAATGGCTTTGGATTTAACGCTAAAATATGCAGATCCTCAATCATAGGCTGTCCCTTAGTTTCACTCTTATGATCAGCCTTTTGTCGTTTAGAAGGCACAAAATTCACATCCTTTACTGGAACTTGGGCTGTACCACTGTTTATAATCAGGAACGGCTCATCGTCATTCTTTTGGTCCTCTGGAGCAGCATAAAGATGGTCAGATTGTTTCCTTTTGGCTGAAAGAGAACCAGTTTCATGTTTCTCGCCATTCACAAGGGGCAGCTCTTTCTTGTCACTGGGTTCCAGCTGCATCTTCACAGTCTCAGTGCTGTCTTTTGGAGCACTTCGGCAGCGGAGCAAATGCACAGCAATAGCAGTTAGAGTCATATTGCCAGTATATACACCACAGCAGTGGATGCACTTGAAAGCAGGAGACTTCAAAATGGTATGCACAGTTGGCATGATATGATGCCTTTCTTTCAAATGGATCTCATAAGCTTCCGCACTAGTGAAGGTACCATAACAAAAGGGGCAAGTTGAAACTTTTCTATTGCCCTTATTAGTTTCTGCAGTCTCATGCTGCAATTTAATGTACAGAGGAATAACTGTCCTTGAATTGACCCCAGCAAGTACTGCTAGGTGCACTTCTCTTTCACAAAGTTGTTCTTTTGCCGTAACAATAAAGTCGAAATGAGAAAAAAACAGATCACCTTCAGAGTCACTTTCAAGTTGGAACCCTTTGTCTTCATAGTCGGCATGTAGTTTCTTCCTTCCTTTATGAACAGTTCTGGTGTGCTCCACAAGGCCTTTTAAGTCATAGAAAGTACAGGTGCAGAACAGACAAGCTAATCCATGCGTAAAAATATGCTTTATTAGGTCATCTTCAGACAAAAAACATTTACAAGAAAAACACCGGACTGTCTTGTCTTTTAGCCATCTCAGGAAAGGTGCACAAGCTGCAACTTTGTCTGTTTCAAGGGCAATTTCTGGCTTTCCAACACTGAACTTGTGGGCTACTTGCATGTGCACCTGATAAACATTTGATGGGAAAAGCTCACTGCACACAGGGCAGGTCTTCCACTGCTTAGCCTGCTTAAGGGCCAGGCTCATAGCAGAAGCAGATGGAGAATTCTGGGCTGGGGTATTTGTGGAAGATGTTACTACAATAGAAGAAGGCACAGTAGCTGGAGCCTGAGAGAGCTCAGAAACTGGGCTAGATTGCACCAATTGGACAGGTACTTGAGGTGGTGAAACTGTTGTCATCCCATTACCTGGTGGCATAGGCAAAGCCACTGAAACTGGTGCTAGAGTGTATGTGGGTATCCCATTAACTTGCTTACCAGTTGGAATTAATTGTCTAAGTATAGGTCCTGCAGTAAGCATAGCAGCATTCTGAGAAACACCAGGTTTAACAGGCTGATTTATAGGGAGAACTCCAGGAGCAACAGGTTGATTGAACTGTAAAATTCCTGGTCCAACTGACTGGTTTACAGGAAGAACTCCTGGTGTGCCAGGATGATTGAACTGAAGAACCCCCGATGAAAGTGCCTGAGTCACTGGAAGAACCCCAGGATGATTCAAACTACCAACAGGCCGATTTACAGCAAGGACCCCTGGTGAAGAAGGTCTATTCATCGGAATACTGCCAGAACCAATGGATCTGTTCAGAGATCCAGGCGGCTGGGGCACAGGAAGAGTCCCTGGCACAACAGGACTGCTAAGGCTCCGTACTGACTGATTCACAGGAAGCAGGCTAGGCCCAACAGGCCGAGTGAATGAAATGACACCTGGAGGAACTCCTCGACTTATGTTCCCAGCAGACTGATTCAGGCAGAAAACCCTGGGCCTTACCGACTGTTTGAGGGGGAACCGATGGGGAACAAACATAGGCTGAGAAACTGTAGGCTGAAGAGCCGCACTGTTCTGACCTCCCAGGCGAGGATCGGACAGAAGCGCAATATGGGACTGAGCAACCGAAGTTGGAGGTGATGTATGTGCCATACTGTTGGAGGCACTTGAAATAGTAAGTGGTCCCACTGTTTTTGTTGGCACCATATTGTGATTTTGATTGAGTAGCGGAACTGAAAGCTGAACACATGATGTAGAAGCTGAGGCCACTGGCACAGTGGTAGGTATGAGGGGGGGCGTAGCTCTAGCTGTGGAAGGCTTGGGAGCAATATTGATGATCTGTAGTGATTTCCCCTGTCCTGGTTTTTTAGGCTGTACCAGAATGACAGGCCTCAATATATTCTCCAGATCTTTGTGGACTTCAGATGTCAAGACATGATATATCAAAGAATCCCGGCTGTTTGCAAAAGCATTGCACTTTTTACAGTAGTGATCAGTGAAATTTTCTTCACTTTCATCAGGCCTCTCCTCAAAATATGTGCTTATTAGGTTCGGGAAGTGGGTTACTAACACATGTTTCTTTGTATTATAGTACAGTGTATCTGAAAACTGACATTTCTGGCACACAAAGTTTATTGCTTCACTCCGGAACTGTCTCATGCCACCACTCACATTATAATTTTGTATCTTTTTCTTGGAGTGAAACATCCGTAGGTGTTTGCTGACTATTTTGGAATGAGAAGCAAATGCACATTCTGGACAAGGAACAACTAATTCTTGATCCATTTCATCTTCATGGCAACGGTTCAAGTGATTTTTGAAAGAAGAGAGAAATTTTGATGAGAATTTGCACAGGCTACAGCAATATGGATTTGTTCTGTATCTCTGCAAAACAGAAACAAAGAAAGTTGTTTCAGCAAAGATCCATGAAATGCATGTTTGTGACAGATGTTACGGAAAGTACAGAAATTATGAAAGGCGCTCTTATAAGCTGGACAGAGAAGTTTCTTCAAGAAACTTTATATATATATTATATATACACACAGAGAGAGAGAGTGGTGCCCCGCATAACGAGCGATTCATTTAACGACGAATCTGCACAGCGATGAGATTTTTGTGATCACAAAAGTGATCGCACGATGTTTTAAATGGGTAAACATCACTTTGCGATGATCGGTAAGCGTTTCGCTTACCGATTATCGCATAACGATGTTTAAAAACAGCTGATTGGCGGTTCCAAAATGGCCACCCGCAGCTTTTTCGCGCCCTTTCCTCGCTTACCGGGCTGCGAAAATGGTGGCCGCATGGAAGATTTTCACTTTAAGGTGAGTTTTTCCCCATAGGAATGCATTAAACGTGTTTTAATGTGTTCCTATGGGGTTTTTTGCCCCGCATAGCGACGAATCTGTATAGCGACAATTTTTTTGGAACGGATTATCGTCGCTATGTGGGGCATCACTCTGTGTGTGTGTGTGTGTGTGTGTGTGTGTGTGTGTGTGTGTGTGTGTGTGTGTGTGTGTAAACCAATATCTTAGTACTTATTTGTATTATATATAATATAAAAAATACAAAATGGTTTTCTGCTGCTCATACTATTGAGATCCAGCAGAACGATTAGAATATGAATTATATACACAACTCAATATTTCAGAACCAAAAAAAGTAAGGGGATGGAGGTTGTTCACTGTCATACAATAATATAAAAAGCATACAGCCACTCTTTATTAAGAGTGATGCCAAATTCCCATGAACATTTGAGTCAGGAAAGGAAAAAGAAGAAATATATTCAACTGCTGGCCAGATTAGGCAGAAAAGGCGTATGTTATTAAAGAAAAGTATTCAGGAGGTTCTTATCTTGGATTTCTGTTCTCAAGTAGAAGCAAAATTTAGCAAATGGAGCTGTTCTTAAGTTGGATTGTTCTTAAGTAGGGACGTTCTTAAGTAGAGACCCCACTGTACATTCAACTGCTGGCTAGATTAGGCAGAAAAGTCGTATGTTATTAAAGAAAAGTATTCAGGAGTTATAACTGGCTCTGTGGATACTGACTATGCTAATGCCCACAACAAGTTCAACACAGCTACGTATACAGTTGCTGCAAAATGTCCAACAGCACACCTACAGCAACATTTTCTTTCAAAAGACTGAACAACTACCCAGGAGCTGAGCTATTTTACATTCATTTCTAAATGGAAAATACAAAATGGAAAAGAACAATGGGAGGTAGTGGTCACAGATTGCATTAATTTCAGTCAGTCAACTGGAAGCAAAAATCCAAGTCTTTTTATTCTAGAAAACAATAAGCTCTGATAAGATATGTTTAATTATTTCATTATCTAATTTAAGTCCCATTGATTCAAGGGGGATAATGTATGTTTGACTAAAATTGTACCGTCACAACCATTATATTACCCTCCCCCCATAACCCACATGAATCATACAATGTCCCACATGCCCAAGAGAGCTTTAGACTTATTTTACCAATCAGTACTCTCCCCTGACTGCATGGTGCTAGCTTTGGAAACTGAGGGAAATCCCAGAGGCAGCAAAACATATACCTTTTGCCTTGTTCATAAGCAAAAAGGTATAAAACAAATAGTATGTTGTAAGATCCAAATTCTTAGGCTCCCTTAAGCTGTTTCTGTGGATAAAAAGTCTTCTGAAAATTAATGATACATACCTTTCTTTTAGTGGCAAACTCCAAATGTGATACATCGTTCCAAGAAGTGTTGTAGAAATATTTTTCACCTGGGTCAAAATTTTTCAGAGTCTATGCAAAAAGCAAAGAACTGTAAGAATAGCGCATAACTAGCAAGAAATCCCATTTTAATAGTTACTTTAAATCATGAATATTATTCTGCTGATATAAACTGAACTAAAACTATTAACAAAAAATACTGAACAATAATAACCTTTACATCAGTGTATATTGAGGCCCAATACCAATAACAAACATGCCAAACTGTACGTTTCTTGATCACTGATTTGATTGTCTTTATTAAAGAACACATGGTAAAAGGTGTCTCTGTCAAAGATTCTAAATGAATAGTAAAGGACAGGGCTTGTAGTCACAAATCAGCATAAAACTGCTTGTAAGGTTGTTCTCATTTGTGGCAAATGACATAGAGAGATGGTGTTTCCTCAAGCTAAAAAGTCTCAGGACAGAATTGTCTTAAATAAAAGTCATATTAACTTATAACATGCAGCTGCAGATTGTATAATTCCACCCATTTCTTCCTGCAGCCCAGATCATTATTAGCTGAGTCATGGAGAAGCAGTGTTGGATCCAGACTGAGCTTGCTACCCTAAGAGTAGGAAGCTTTCTTCAGTGTCAAGCAGGGAACCTCCCTGTTATCTCTGATCAGTCTCTAGATATAAGAGGCATATAAATGTTTAACACCCCACTCTTTAAATACTACGAACCTTTAAAACACAAGGTATATAGATCATCTCGGAAAACATGGAAATCAAAGGCTTCTTTTAGAAATCCTCTCTTCCTCTGTATTGGAATGACAAGGAACTTTAGCCCTTCCATCAGCCTTAGCCAAAGTAGTTAATATGTGGGAAAATGGAAGCTGTGGCACAACACCTGGAGGGGCTTGTTCTACTGCTGTTATATGGTAGTCTGTGATTTACTTATGAGTATATGCCAAAGAATTCAGCTGCATTTTGAGGTGTACATTTTGCACACCTGGTAGGATAATGTCCAAATGGTAAGAATTATGTATGTTTGAGCTCTTAACAGGAATAAAACTCTGAGCTCACACACAGGCATGTGTTAAGCCTCCTTTCCTTTGATGGGAGGGGGACATATTTTATTAAAGAACAAGTGATTACAATGAATGCAGGCAACAATGACATCCGCTTTTTGCATTTTCTCTCTCACTTACAGACCCAAAAGGCATCTTTCCACAAATACTTGCTTGAGAACTTGGTCTACCACAACAGTTCCTGCTTTGTCCCCAACCTGGTAGGTACTGAGGCAGTTTAGAAACACCACAAAACCAAACTACTAGCATCCTTCTTTCATAGCAAGTAACAATTCTCCCCTCCCATTCTGGTGTGGGAACATCATTTCAGCTAAACTGGGAATAGGGAAAAACCTTTTTTCTTTGCATAACTCAACACAGAATCTAGGATTCTGTTAACAGGATTACCTACTGAAGACGATATATTTTATAACTTGACTACAATGAAATTTTGTTTTGTTCTTTACCTGAAGTAACTCCCGGCAGCTATCACGCCCAATATCTACAAGAATGCCCTTGACTTTCTTCCGAGCCTTCCTTATGCTATCCAGATTTTGCACAGGAATTTGAAACATGTTGAATTGTATCTGGAAGACACAAAGTGACACAACAATGTACAAAGAACAAGAGTATACAGAGGTGCCTTGACTTACGAACACTCTGACCTACGAACAATTTGACTTATGAACAGCTCCGGCCGCAAAAATTTGCTGACTTGTGGCTGGAGCTTTGACTTACGAATGGAAAAAGGCAAGGAGAAAAGGCGTGAAATTCAAACTGTTGGTGGCAAAAAAGCTGCTTCTTTGTAGCTCTTTTGCCCCAATGGTTAGAGCAGGAGGTCAGGGAACTTTTTTACTTCTGCCAAGCAGGAGAAGAAAAGAGAGGCGGGGCGGCTCCAGATTGCTGCCAGGCACAGGAAGCCGGTACGCTCACTGCCCATCCCTGGTGAGGATCTACTCGGGAGTAAGGTCCATGGCAGGCATGGGTCTACTCGGTAGTAAGGGCCATGGAAGGCCCTGGGTGGGAAGGCGTGGGTCGGAGGGGCTCCGTGGACAGGGCATACAGCAGCGGCATAGGAGGAAAAAGGAGAATCAGCCGGGTGTCGGTGCTTTGGAAGCCCAGAAAGCCTCCACAGAGGCTTCAGACTTGGTAAGGTGCTGCTTTTTCCTTTTAAAAAAAGTTTTTCTGGGTGGGTTTTGGAGGGTAGGTTTGGGTTGGGGGGTTACATTTCTATGTTGGGTTTGTTTTGTTTTTCAGTCCCAGTGTGAGAATTGTGCCAATGTTTATTTTTGGATTTGTTTGTTTTTTGTTTTTTAGCCGTCTCAGCGTGGGACTTGCAGTGTTTTAATTTTAATTGGGGGGGGGGTATTTTTTCTTCGGCCGGAATGGATTAATCAGTTTTCAATGCATTCCTATGGGAAATGGTGCTTTGACTTATGAACTTTTTGACTTACGGCCACCGTTCCAATACGGATTAAGTTCGTAAGTCTTGCCAAGGGCGCGAAAATGAAAATTAAAAACAAAAGAACCCAAATCTTGTGTAGTTATGCTGGCAGAACAAAATTACAGTACAGTGGTGCCTCGCTTAACGATTGCCTCACTTAACGAAGAAT